AGAAGGAGAAGGAGAAGGAGAAGGAGGAGAAGGAGAAGGAGAAGGAGAAGGAGAAGGAGAAATGCTTCCCAGCTGACCCTGTACTGCCATCCTCAAAACTTATGAGCACCAACCAACAGATTGCTTTGATACACTGTGGATCCTCAGTTTAACCTTCTGCCATGCGCAGGAAAATCAGTGAAACCAAAATCATGTTTGAGAGGCTCTTCTGAGAAACTCCCAGACAGGGGCATCCACAGCCTCTGTAGACAGACTGTTGGGCAGACCTTACCCTCAGGAAGTACAAGTAGCTACAACACAATCTTAAATTTTAAGAAGATATTTTTATTCAGATACACAACCGGATAACTATTTATCAATTGTGGAAAACACACATCTAGTTAGAAATTGTTTTGGAGATTGTGATCAAACTAACTAAACTGTTCTAGGAGATTATGATCAAACTAACAACCACTGAAGACTTTGTTGATAGAAACATTAGGAAATCTATAGTAACAGCATCAACACCAGCCCTGTGAGCGTAATGTTTGGAGACACCTGTAAGCTAGAGATCATCATGCAAAACTGCAGTCAACAAATCTCTCTGAGCTGGTGGAATTTTTTTCTGGCATGGTTCCTGCACCATACAGGGATAAAAAACGGAGCACGCAGAGCTCTCAGTACGAGAGGATCTAGAAAAGTTTCACCAGTTGAAATTCTGCTTGTCATGAAACTCAAAAAGTCAGAAGGAAGGTGGCAGGCCTAGTTCTTCTCCCTGCAAGATCAGAAACTTGGTCTTCTTAGCACTATTTTCAGAAGGCTGTTTGTGTGGTTCCCTTAATCCAAAAGATTGAAATGCCTGAACCACTTAGGGGAATGTAGGCATCCTGCAGCAGCTGTGGGGAAGGGCTGAACTACGCCGCCCATCCAGCAGCGCTCATGCCAGAAGAGGGTAAACCGGTTCATGGTGATGGAAACTTAAATCCCGACATCAAAAGCGTGCCTGTCCTTGGTATAAAATACCCTTTTGTTGAGAAGAAGAAGGCCTCTTCTGCTTGCAGAAGGGTACTTTTGTATCCAGCCCACTAACAAAGTGGCAGTGTAACAAAACACTGTTTATCCGAAAGAAAGAACCTCACGGTTTTCAGTTCTTACCTTTCCGTTCCTAAAGACAGATAGAGCTGACTGATGGTTTCTAGCACCTGTCCTTCCATGACCTTATCAGATGTTTTCCTAACCAAGGTGAGCTGACATTCGTTGTAGAGGACACACTGCGCTGGATCTGGGACAACCGTGCTGTAGAACTGACACAGATGCTGAACAGCCTGGAGCTGCCCTAGAAAGGAGGAGTGGTTGGTCCATTAACGGAACAACGTCTTTCAAAGGGGCAGCAACAGCAGGACATACTCAGCCCCCGCAGCTTTAGATCAGGCCTTCGCATTCAGCATCACTTTCCATGCTGCGAATTGCTTGATCCACATCAACAACAACAATCAGCAAATGCCCTTATCAGGGCTACTGTAGGTTCACCCAGTCGCCAAAGAGCATTTGAACTTCGAGGGATATCTTACCTGTTCTAGGCAGCTCACGAAAGCTCACCATTCCTTAAAAGCATTTTTAATTTTGAACATAAGAAGGAAGAAGGTATTACTTACCTGGAAAGTAATCCTACTAACTAATTTAAATGTAAATAAAATGAATTCAAATCTGTTTTCTGCCCAGCTCCAACTTCACTTTGTGAGCGTCCTCCAAGTGCTCACTCTTGCGTCTCATGGAGGGAGATTAGACCTCCTGTCCCTGGAGCAGAGCCGTGTCTGGACACAAGCCGCCTCTTCTTTTCCGGTTCTTGTGGCTACTGCTTTTGCTTATTGAACTCACCATCATATCCTTACTATTTGTTTCTATCAAGGATTTTATTGGAAAGAATCACAGAATGCAAGGGCTAGAAGAGACCTTGGAGATAATGAGCAGGTGAGCCACTGAATGTTGAAAATGGATTTCCTCTGCCTGCCTTTCTCCCTCCCCTGCTCACACTTCTAGAAACAGAAGTTGTTAAGAGCGTTCATGCAGGTGTTTTGTTTAAACTAAATGTTAGATTCTTTAATTAAAACAAATCTAAATTGCCAAAAGTTGAGTCCTTTTACTAATTGCATTTCTGGGTTTAATCACAGGATTCATACAATCAGCTAAAAGCAAACTAACGTGTAAAGCATTTGTCCATGGACAGCAGAAATTTTTGCTGTAAAAAATATGAAGACACATTAAGTACCTTCAGCGGGTAGAAGAGGTGGCATATAAATGCATGCAAATAAATAAATAAGCTGCAAATGCTTACAACTGCTGTCTCAGGAGCAAAGTGCTAGGCATCTCCAGACCTTTGGAAAATTGTGCTTTTACTTCAGGCAAGTTATTCCTATGGGCTGATGTACAACTGTGTCTTCTGCTCACGTAATAGGAGAGTCCATTCATGTGTCTGTGACTGGTTACAAATGTGGGGGACAAGCTGGAGGCAGGGTTCCTCCTGAATTCTTGCTCTGAAGCTTGGGGATGCTGTCCAAGTATTCTCTCTTCCTCTTCACCAAAAACTCATCCTGCAGATCATAGCATGCTTGCAATGTAAACTGAGAAACTCACCCTTACTCTACACAGAGCCCTGCTCAAACCATGATCAGAGGAGTTTACAAAGTTTTAGAAGTTTACAAAGTCCTTTGCGTATTGAAAGTCATGAGCAGTAAGAATAGGAATAACAGTTGGGAGGAGGAGGAGGAGGAGGCAGAAGCTTCCACCCACTCTTCCTGTATCTTCTATCCCTTGCTGGTTCCTTCTCATAAGAACAGAGGGAGACATAAAAGGCAGCAGCCTTGTCTTGAAACATGTGCGTGAGCAGGCGGACAGAAGAAACCTGAGCAATGCCCTCAAACCCTAGAGAAACCTCAAGGACAGCAGAGGAGTGGACCAAGATAAAAAAGAACAGAAGAAAATCCAGCTTTGCTCCCAATTCTCTGGGCAGCAACCCTTCACCTTGGTAGCTGGGAAAAAGCTTCAAAATATAATTTATCCTAACTCTGAGCCAAGGAAACGTATTTACCTTCCACATCATCGAGTTCCATTGCCACCAGAAAGGCCCATTCGTAACAACACCGCCCTTTATCCTTATGGATCCCACTGGCGTAGTGGCACCCTAGCCTGAGTAGAATGGCTGTGAAGCTTCCCCCACATTCTCTGCTGGAGAGTTCAGAGAAGAGCTGGACGGCTTTCATTAAGAAATGCTCTCCCAGGCCTTGGGCAGACGAATGCAGGCAAAGCATCCCAAGGTTGGCCAAAGCCACTGCCTCATTAGCTGCGCTTCCCATCTCTCTAGAAATGCTCAGGGCTTTAAAATAGCTCTCAGTGGCTTGCCTGGGGCAGTTCATTCGTCTCAGACTGATGGCAGCCATGTTATGAACAACACCTAACTGCTGGCGGGTGCTCCTGGTAGTCTCTGTGACAGCATTTAAAATGTATAGAGCCACCTCGTTCTGCTGATGGAGTATATAGAGCCAGCTGAGGAAAATGAAGTGATTAATGGTGTCTTCCACGCTTGCACATGTGTTTAGGTCTAAAACCTCCTCCATGTAGCCAATTGCTTTTTCGTACTGTTTGTAATGGCTATGTAGCTGAGACAGTTCATAGTAAATGATGCTGCGCAGCTTTTGGCTTCCCCTGCTACTTTCCAGTGCATAAAGCAGTTCTCTGAGATAAAATGCCATTTGGGAAGGGTGTGTTTGTCCCACAGATGTGGGATGGTGGAGTTTGGAAGCATTTCTTAACACTAAATCGATGCTTCTGAACAACTCCAGCACAGTACAGGAGCTGTGAGAAGAGGCCACCTTGGCGCAGCTTAGCGCAAGGTGGGGCAGGCACTTCTGGCTGTAGAGCTGGCCCAGCTTCCAATAGCAGTCCACGGATGCGCTGCCATTCGGCAGCCCCTGGCCCTTATTCAGCAGCTGCTGCAGCCTTTCCAGAAAGGGGAGAGCTTCCTCCCCTCGCTTAAAGCTCAGGTAATGCTTTGCTAGCAGGAAACAGGCCCTGGCTTCTGCGTTTCTGCTCTGACTGAGCACAGCTCTTTTCAAAGCATATTTCAAGATATCCAGCGCCATCTCCGTACTGTCTAAGTCACTGGCCATGCCCATCAGCAAAGCAGCAGCTTTGTCAAGAAAGCAAGCACATTTCTCCATATTCTTCTGTTTCAGGTAAATGCCTGTTAGATTGGTATAAAGAGTAGCTATAAGGCGGAGGTCATGAAAATCCCCTCGTACAATTGCCAGAGCTTCTTCAAAATATACTCGAGCCTGAGAAAGTTTGAACTTCCGGACACTCATTCTTCCCAGCAGATAGCAGAGCCGCGTCATGGCCCGGGGCAGGTCGGCTTGTCTGGCCACTGCCCGAGCCCGGGCCAAGTAACCCACCAGCTCTTCTTCAGTGGCATCGCCCTGGAAGAGTGTCTTGAGAAAGGAAAATGAAGGGTCATACAGACTTCCAAAGCCCGCTTCGTAGCCTTCCTGATTCAAAAACAACAATAACGAATCAGGAATTTCTGGCCCAGAAGTACTGTCTTGGCGCACGCAGAAACATTGCTTCTGCAGAATAGGAGGTTCCTGCCTGTCAGAAGTGGGGAGATGCTTTTTCTGATTGTCAGTCGACTGAAAGCTCTTCATCTTCATTAGTGACTGCACCACCCTGCATGGGGTTGGACTCTCCCTTTTGTTAAAGAAGGAATGTGGCATTTCTGAAAGACATAAAAAGGGGAAGGCTGCAAGGCTTATGGCAAAAAAGCAGAAACAGAAAGATAAGCTTAACAAGGAGTGGATGTAAGAAAGTTTAAAATGGATAAAGAAGACAGTTATTTTTTGGTGAAATAGACAAACCATATCTTCATGGGAATGTTTCTTGTTTACTATTAAAGAGTGAAGATAATTGGTGGGTTTTATAAAACAAAAGGTAATATGAGCTAGACTATGATGCTGACTGTAACTATGGAGTGCCATTTGAGATGTAAGTATTAAGGGCAGAGGAAGACTGAACAGAAAAAAAAATGAGGGGGGAGCTTGTGTTTTACTCTTTCCCTTGCAACTGAGACACTTTCACTTTTGGATTACAATATTACAATGGCAATGACCAGAAAAGCAGCAAAAACAGCAGAGCGGAGGAGAGGATCACTAGAACAACCTGCAGAGAGAGGAATTACACCAGATTTTCTTCAGAAAATGTTCGAGGAATTAGGCAATAAGTTATCAAGTAATCACTTGATACTAAATTGACAGCTTTTGAAAAAAGAATGGATCAAAGACTTGTAAAGATGAAAGAGAAGATGAAAGAAGAAGTCAAGAAGGTGGAAAGTTCTGTAAAACAAGTGTCTGGAGATGTAAAACAAATTAATGACAAAGTGGAAACTCTGGAGAGTAAGACAGAAGTTATAGACAGAGGGTTCAAAAGAGAACTGGGCAATTTCGCCCTATTGGAATTAAGAGAGAAGGAATTTTATTTGACATTTAGAGCAATCCCAGAGGATTCTGGTGAAGATATTAGAGAAAAGGTGATTAAAGCTTTAGCAAATCTTTTAGATTGGGATGAGGAGGATACAGAGGCAGAAATTGATAAAGTATATAGAATAAATACAAGATTTGGAGAGTAAGAGATGTTTCAAGGGATGTCTTGGTGCATTTGTCAGGAAGAAGACAAGAGATCAAGTTTTGCAGCAACATTTTAATATACGACTAAAGACTGATAATACAGATGTAATTGTTCTTAAAGAAATTCCTATTAGAATTTTGCATAAGAGAAAAGAGTATTTTTTGACTAATAGATTAAAACAAAAAAAGATTCCATTTCAATGGGATACATTGGAAGGTATGATTTTTACTTTTAAACAACAGAGGTTTCACAGAATTCTGTCCAGGAGGCAAGGGAATTTCTAGAAAAAAATAGAGGACTTGGAGGAGATTCAAAAGGAGGTGTCAGATGAGACTACACAAAAACTTCAATAGGTGCAACAGGAATCTGAAAGGGATAATACAGAATTGGGCGCTACAGATACCAACTTTCCTACATTTTTGGCTTGATTATGGATTACAAATGCTTCATGTGGAATATAAATGGAACAAATGCTCCTCAAAAAAGAAAAAAAATCATTATTTGAAAAAATTAAAACAAGATATAATTTGCCTACAAGAAACACATATTAGAAAAAAGGACATAAATATTTGATTTATAAAAATGTGGGTAAAGGATTTATTTCAGCAGGAAAAGAAAAGAAAAAAGAAATGGGACGGAAGAAATTTTCTAATGAAAATTGATGTTTGATGGGGGATTGGAATGGAGTGGTCTCCCCACAAGTGTACAGAACTTGTGAGAAACATGTACAGTGTACAGAATATGTGAGAAACATATTAAAATTACTAAAGCAAACTGCCAAAAGTTTTTTTTTTAATTTGATGGATAATTTAGGGTTGGTTGATATATGGAGACAGAAAAACGGCAATTAAAGAGAGCATACCTACTTTTCTGAAAGACATACATCCTTTTCAAGAATAGATAAGATTTGGATTTCAAAGAATTTGGT